TGTGCACATTGGATGGGTTTTTGTGATTGTGACACTCGAAAAACTAGCAACTGTGAAACACTTCAGCCTTAAATGAGATGCAGCATGAGGTTCCCACAGATCACTGCTTGCCTATTTTTCACTAAAATTGGAGACTAGATTTTCGATCCTTCTGCATAGTTTTATTGTCCATAAGCCATGTTGTATTTGGCTGCTTATCTCTGGACTGATAGACTTCCGGGCACATTAAGACTGCAGATTTAATCTTACACAAGAAACAGTACATCTTTATCTCATGGTAATTTCTGCTAATGCGCTCTTTGATACGGCAACATTATTGCTGGTATCTGCGAGCCATGTGTGTTATTAAGCGTATCTGTATGGTTCTATGGACAAGGGTTTGGTGACCATATGGTGTCAGTTTAATTAAAATTTAAATATGGAAATTCAGTGGTCTGGAAGTGGGTAACGAAGGATCTTTTGTGTCCATTTCCATACCAGTTCAGTAGCAGGGTGAAAGCCACGGTTAAAGCAGCAGTTTCACACAAGAATGTGAATTGAGGGTATTTTCTTAGTACTTGGTAGGTGTTGTGCATGTGACAAATATACTTATGCTGTTGAACTGAACATAGAAACCATAGCTTGAACCAGAAGACTATTCTGTCTTTTTGGCCACAGACCCCAATTTTTCCATGAAACATTGAACTACATGAATGTAGTTTACCTAATTAAACCAGTACTGCTGTTTCCCATCCCATGAAGTGTAGACTTGCTAAGAATTTCCAGTGACTTTTTGTCATCATTAAATCCATTTACAAGATCTGAAATAAATAAAAGTATACGTGGAGTTATTCAAATAATATTCAAACATTCAATTAATAATACCATATTTCTTGATGGTTTTATAGCAGGAAAAATTATATGAGGGCTTCTTGAAATGGGAAGTTGCATACAGAGAGTAAGAAGTGTCACCTCTAAAGGAATCAAAGAATTTAATACAAAATCAATCTGCTTGTGTGAAGTTAAATTTGCTACTTGGTAGGCAGCATTGTGTTTCATTATTAGCATTTGGTTTGGCTTTTTTTTCTATTTGAGTTAACTCCACATTGCTTGTTTTGGTGGGATGAGAACCACCCACGTAGCCATGCCAGCACCGGATGATTTTGTCCTCGTGTTGTCAACGAGTTCAGGTGTGACACACTAATTTTTCCCTGGGATAGCTTCACTGGATTACTGTGTGTTCCTGCCAGAGGCCATTAGGAAGAGTGTCCAGTTCTGAAGTAATTAGGAACTCTGTTAAAGCTGACAGAGTGGTGAGGTCTGTATTTACTAAATACAACTCCTGCTGCACGTCACCAACTCTAACCATGTGCAGTTAGAGAATCAAATGAGCCCATTTTGATTGTTTTTCGGCTGGTGTGTATCCAACGGGGTCAGAGCCTCATTAACAAAAAAGAACATGCTGCCACAGACCGAAGGGACTCAGAGAGTGTAACTAATTGATGCACGAGGATTGTAGGTCATATCTTCATGAGAGACACAGCGATGACAAAGAATGATTTAATTTGAAACAATCGGCGTACTTCATCTGCTAACTGCCACAGTGCCCCACTAACCTACGCTTCGTAATAACCTCTGCACTGGGTATCAGGAGAGGAGGTTGCCCTTTGGTATCCCGCAGGACCGAGCGGTGTCAGCTGACAGATGAGAGCAGGGCGGTGGGGCTTCTCGCCGCTGCCAGAAAGTAGGTCATGGCCAAAAGTAGCCTTGGCTGCCTTTGTGGAAGCGTGCCTGCGAGAGAGGAGTCAGCCGAGGAAAAAGCTCGCATGGGTTTTGGGTTTGTTTTGTAGCTCTTCCTTGCTGTGGAGCAGCTGGCATTACATGCCGTTAAATGCGTCTGCTTTCCAGCATTCCTGCATAAAATATTTTTAGAAGCGAATATACAGCTCTTGTTTCTGCTTAGGGGAAGTGGCGCATGCTTGTGGCCTTTCTTTTTTATTATGAATTTAGAATTTTAATTAGATCAAGTGGTTTTTTTTAATAACCATTGCTTTTTTCCTTCCTTTCTTCACTGGAAATTGACTGAAACTGGATGAATGGGGAGGAAACTCGGGTCAGAAACAGTTCTGAGCAGCAGTGTATTCAATATTCGAGCTCCCTCACGTTTTATTGCTAATATGGAATTCAGGAAAGCAAGTACTTTAACTCATTTAAGGGCTCATTCACTCCTGCTGTCTCTTCTCGTGAGGGCTGGTGCCTGTTTACGGTGTAATGGTCATTTCCATGGCAACAAACCCTGGCAGTGTTTAGGAAGCTTGGGCTTTTTTTTGATGGAGAATAAATAAAAGAAGATTCACCCACATGCGAGATAACCTTATTTTCAAATGAAATGAAAAACTCGGGGTGGGGCAGGGGAGATAAGATAGAGATGTGTGTCTCATGTTCTTTCACAGTTTCCTCTGTGATGTGTGCACCTTTCAGAATCAGACCTGCTGGAAGTCCTGTCCTGCGGGCTGGGCTCCCCCTCCGAGTGTACTTTGTGCAGAGTTGCCCAATGCTGCTGCCTCGGTAGGCCATGGCAATCTCTTGTAGCAAATCAGAGCCTGGTTTTGCTGTTCTGGTGCTCCAGAGATCTCCTTTGACAAATCCCTTTCCTGTCTTTCCTTGCATTAGATGCGTTCATCAACTTCTCAAAATATTTCTGAGCTGTTGCCCTGATTAGATTTTTCACACATTTTCTCATAGACAAGGCTCAGCCCGTTTCCATGCCTCTCCATAAATAGATTGCACAAACAACGTCCTTTATCAGTAGGAGGAAGTTCCCTCGTGATACAGGGGAGGGCTCAGGGGGTAGCTGTTGCCAGCTGAGCTGAAGCACGGTGCTGCTCAAGAGTTGACATGCCAAGGCCACTTTCCACGGGTTTGGTAGGAGTCTGGTCCAAGGCCATCAGCATTTGATGTCCATGCAGCACTTCATCATACCAAGCTCTTATCCTGGAAAAAAAGAGTCCAGGCAGTGCATGTGTTTCAACTCTTATATGAAAATTGCTATTTTTTTATTTACTGTTGACATGGAAGACTGTGTAAGAGCTTGTCTTGGTGAGGAACAAATGCCAACACGGGGAGTTGATACAGCATGAGTAAGTGATGCTGAAAACTAACCTTGTTCTCCATGATGGAGAGAGGTGACCTGAAATACTGTACGATTTCCCTGGGTACAGTGTAAGAGTCCAAGGACTTGGCAGCACCTCTAACTTTGACAGATGAGACAGTGTAGTGCAGCTTTTGCAGCCTTTAAAGTCTGTACAGGAGTTTAGTCTGTCTTTTCTGCTAAATTTCTGTCAATGTTTAAATCGGAGTCTTCAACCATGCTAAGCTGTTTCTTAGGAAACTGTTTCCATTTTTGTTTAAAGATGATCTGCTCATGTTTTTGGGATAGCTCAAGTGAGCCAGGAAGATCGTTCAAAAGCCTTCCTTTAAATGATTGGTGTTTGCGGAGGTATTTCTGAAGAAGTTTTCTCTGGAACATAATTTTTGGGCTGTTGCACAACATGTGCACAGATGGATGCTGCCTTGTGTTAATAAGTTGTTTAGGTTGAACAGATCTGTCCAGGATCATATGTTCATTTTGGCAGCTCTACTATTCCCCTACTACTTCTTTGACAATTTTGTTCTAGTAAGAAGATAAATAAGTAAATGAATAAAGTTCTGCATTCCCTTAGTTATTTCAGACCCGCTGTTGCCTTTGCTGTCTTTCTTTGTAAGCCAGCAGTGTGCAGGTGATGCTTTTTTGGTGGTGATGGTTTTGTGGGGAGTCTGCTTCAGGAAAGCAGCAGTATCTAACTAAATATCCCCTAACCTGGCCTCTCCCTTCCCTTCTCCATCTTATTCCTACTAGCCCTCATTACACTTCTTGCTAATAAATTAGAGAGATGGTTACCTTTCTGGCAGCAAATTAGCCTGCCAGTTGGCTAAAAACAATTTGAGAAGTGCCTTCCTGTAAACGAATGAGCCCAGCTGTCATAACATGTACTCTCTGAACCAAGAGTATGAATCTTGATTAGGCAGGAAAAAAACCCCACTGACTTGGTTTCCCGTGATTCTGTTATCACTGTTTGCTGTAACGATGGAGCTAGCAGCGACAGCCCCACGGCTGGCAGATCTCCGCTCATATCTGTTTATAAAGAGCTGTCTGGGTTATAAAAACCTCCCCGAGCTGCTCAGGTGCGTGTTTTGAGAAAAGAACTGATTGTTTCTTCTAAAGGGCCTGTGCAGCGTGTGCTTTTAACGATCAATTTGGCAGTGAATTGTTCTCTGCCAGCTGATACCATCAGCGGGGTTTTTTCCTGAGATCCCAACTCAGCTTTGAAGCTTGGGGCTGTCTCTGGGCCGGGTGCCTCTGGCAGGCTGCTGGGGGCACGGTGGGGTCAGGATGTGCCCTGCCACACCAGTCCTGTGCCCGCATCGCCTCCTGACCCTATCAAATGACTGGCATGAGTCGGCCTGCCTTGGCATGTCACTGAAGGAGCAGTATCATTTCGGGCATGTGAACGAGTTTCCTGATGTAGAAGTAAAATTACAGTTATCTCGGAAAAGGTAGTGAGCTTGATTACCCAAATAACTTGCTGGCTCTGTGACCCTCATCAGAGATCTTCCCCACATTTTCTCATCTGATCAGTAGCGACAGGCTTTGCCTCCTTGCTTTTCATGCAGACTCCCCTTTCAGTTTGTGCTAGGACAGTCGTGGGACCTCCCGAGCTTATTCGGGTTGTTTAGCCCTGTGCTGTCTCAGACTGCAACACCCTAAATAAATCGTATCCCAGTTCTCAGGCTCTGTGAGCCTTGTTCTTGTGGGCTGTCCCTAACTTGAATTCCCAGGGTTCTGATGATTCAGACAACTTGCAATATATTATTAATAAATTATATACTATTAAAATGCTAGTGCTGATGTTACGGTTCCTTGTTATTTCCATGGTTAGGTTCTGTTGTCATTAATTTTTTTAATGCTTCATTTTCTTCAGAAACTAGATGCCAAATCACTTATAAAGTTGAATTTTGCTAAAAACAGTGAAGGTAAGTACGCTAATTTTCTGTTTTTCTTTCTTTTTTTTTTTTTTTCCTTAATGAATGCTTTAATAAATCCTGTTTTTTCTTGCCCACAGTGAAGTTACATAATTTGTGTTCTTTGTCATGGCTTTTATTTTCTTGAGTAGATTAACTGCTTGCTGTGATCAACATTTTTAGCCCCATTTCTGTTTTTCCCTGTACTGGGGAGCTGTAAATTATTTAGCATTTTATTTATTTATTTTTTATTAATATAGCTACTACTATATAAGGTAGTATTTACTTTAAGGAAAAAAATCAGAAACAGACAAGTTACTTAATATGTTACAAGTTACAAATAATATGACGTTATTTGCTGTTCACTTGGATTTGAGCAACTTTTTGTTTATAAAATGAATCATTTGTAAATGAACACATGGGATTTTATGAAGAGTGGCACGCAAGAAAGCAGCCTCGAGTTGTATTTCTGCAGGGTTAACAATATAAAACCTGCCATGAAAGAGAGGATGCTAGTAATAAAATAGAAGTGTAGAGATGAATTTATCTTTTGCAAGGCAGGTAATGATCTTTTTGAAATAAGAGTGGCAAAGATTAGGTGGGAATAAAATTCTGGAATGTCTGTCTCCTTATCTTACCAGTCTATGGACTACAAGGTCTGTACTCTAGTTGATGGATTTCTTCTGCTTTCTCTATTCCATCTATCTCAAGAGCAGGATGTTAAAAAACAATCAGTAGTCACTGTGGCCAAGGTTTTTGAAAGATACTGTGATAGTTGTGCTTTCCTTGAAGAAGTCCAGTTCATAATGCTGGGCAGGGTGACAGAAGCTATGCAGTCTTAGAATTCTTTTCCATACAAAGGCACGTGCTGTGTCACTAACTAATCGAGGGAAAATGCAGTAAAAGAGAGGCTAAAATATTGCATTTCTATCAGCCAGTTTTTCTTTAAATCTTAACATGTAGAACTGTTGCTATATACATAGAACCTTTCTGTTCATACTCATACAATAAAAAAGTCATCAGATCTTGCAGTTTCTTCCAATTAAGGATCCCTCCTTAATGGACTACCATTTATTCAGATCAGCAAGTGTAACCTCAGCCACCCTGCTTTTGCTAGAATTGGGAATGTGCTGATTTGCTCTTTTTTGTGCAACTGGATTGAGCCTCCACATTTTGTTAGTGTGTTTCTGCATCCATCATTTAGGCCATACCCCGATGCCACTTCTAGAAATTCCTTTCTAAACTTTCTCCTGAATTTCAGGTCCTTGTGAAAATGTCTTTCCTTTTCAACTGTAGTGATATCAACAGAAAACATCCTCATCCTTTACTCGCACCTCCACGTTGGTCAGAGTGCCTCCTCTGGCCAATGAGTTGCTTGGTAAATACTCTGTAGGTCCTTGCCTTTCCTGTCTTTGCAGGTGCTGTGAGCAATCTCTGTTCTGGTTTCCCTGCTGTTTTTGATTTTCAGATGGTAATTAGGAAAAAAAGAATCAAACAGTCTCAACCTATTTCAAAATCTCACCCAAACCCCCAAGTCTAGCAAACTGATCAAGTATTAATAACCTTCTTCTAATTGCTTCTGCTGAGTTCATCCAGACATTTTTCTTTTTCCTCATACATTGGCTTCCATCAGTGTGCTTGTTGTTGACATGCTTAATATTTATGCTGACCCTCCTGGGGAAATTCACAGCTTGATTAGAGCAGAAGCTGCGTTCCTTATTGAATAACGTGTTCAGATTTAATGGCATTCTGCTTGCCACATTTGAATACAAAATGCTCTCCTCTCTTAAAAGTACAGCAGCTGCTGTGAACTTTTGTTGGATATAACCTAAATATGTATACCTGTGAACAACACTGAAAGTAGAGCACTGGGCACCCTAAGGTACAGGGCTAACGCTCTCAATAGAGCTTTAATTGCAACAATAACAATTATATTGTGATACTTCATAGATACTAAGCATGTTGGACAAAGTTGTGTTGAGATATTTAGGGCAGTAGATTTCAAAAGTTCATTTTCACTGAAAAATGAAAGGCACTGAAAAATCAAACCATAGTTAAAACACTATTAAAAACACAAAGAATTTATACTTTATATCAAAGAGGAATGTCAATATCCTTCACAGAAATAACAGAAATGATCAATTTCAAACTAGTTGCAAGGGCTTCATGCTGAATTAAAGCTTTTTTCCTCTCCATCAGGTAAATACCACTGTCCCGTGCTGTTTACTGTATTCACCAATAACTCCCATATTGTGGCCATCAAGACAACTGGGAATGTGTTTGCCTATGAGGTAAGTTGTTTGTTGCATTTTGCAATTAGTATTTTATATTTGATGCATTTCATAGATGATCACAAAAAGCTTTAGAAAGGTAGGTAGGTTTCATTCTTGTTTTATAGCCAAGGAAATTAAGTACTAGGAGATGGATCAGCTTCACAAATTGTCGTCTGACTTGTGGTAACAGTGGGGGAGATGTTGACCCCTTGTTAAAGCTGTTTGTCTTATACCATCTGTAAAATACTTAACCTAGAATACTGCAAGTTTATGATGGTACTTTTATGATGAATTTGGTTAAAATCATGTGTATACCTAGGAAATTGAGATTGCAAGGTTCTTTTTTTTATTATTATTTTTAAGTCAGAATGCAAAGCTGTTTAAATTTTGTAGGAATTAAATGGCTTTTCATCTGTTAAAGTATACAATGAAAATATTGCAGCTGCCATTTGAGAATTAATATGAAATTGTTTTCTTTCTCAATAGTCCTTTAAGGTTTGAGTGGTGTCATATATTTACTTGTAATATTTACACATTATAATTCAGTTTTTAATATCTGTATCTTTCACGTGGCCATTAGGCAGTTGAGCAGCTGAACATAAAACCAAAGAGCTACAAAGATCTCTTGACTGATGAGCCCTTCACTCGGCAAGACATTGTGACACTGCAGGTAAACTTTTCTCTCCATTACATGTCTCATACTACTTTTTTTTTTTTTTTTTTTTTTTTCAGATAATGAAATGCTATTATGTCCAGTGTTACAGCATGAATATAGAATAAATGAACAGAGAAATGCTGCTCTGTATTTGTGGCTTGGAAAAGGGTAGAAAAAGAATTACTCTGTTTTCTTTGTTATCCAGATGAGCCACAAAGATGCCATATAACATAAAGCTTGACTAATCTCTACAGTGATTTCTGTGTGCCTTGTAGATAAGTAGACTGCTAAACTTTATAAAATGAAGAAAAAAAATGAAGGGTGCACAAAAAGTCCATGATACAATGTAAAAATGTGAATTTTAACAAATGTTTTTGCGGTTGCACACTGTTTCATTGTCTCTGGATACAAGAATATATAATAGATTTTGGTTATATGAACATGCATAAGGTTGTGAAGTAGGATTTTTTTCTCCTAATCTTACCTGAAAAATTGTTGTGACACCACTGATTTACAGTGAGTCTTAACAGAATTACATTAGGAAAAGACTGAATAGAAGAAAGGGAAAGATATGTCCCAAATCATCTTTGGCTCTAGACAGCTGACACTACATGGTCTTCCTTACCAAAGGAAACGTGTTTTTTTTTTTGTTTTTTTTGTTTTTTTTTATAATTTAGTGTATACAGACTCTAGGAAATTTATTTGTAGAAGACTTTACATTAGGACTGAAGTTGATTGTCCATATAAATCTTCTGAAGATACCTAAAACAGTCAGAGCATCAGAAAAGCACTTTTTACATACTGTTTCCCTAAATGTAATTAAGCAACAAACCACAGGATTTTATGTGCTTGCTTAAAATGTTGTGTTTTTGTGTGTGTTTATTTTTAATAGATTCCTTTGTTGGTCTTTAACTGATTTTTAATAATATCATAACCTAAATGTAAAAATGTACAGAAGTATCTTAGAGTTCTAAAAATACTTATTTACAGATGAAATTTAGTATAAGAAGATCTAAAGCTTGTTTAAATGCAAGCATTTTTAACTTTGCAAGATTTCAAGATAGGGAAAAAAAAATAAAGTGTTATTATTACTGGAGTCATGAGTCAGTATGCATCCCTCATGAGCAGATAATTGCCACTAACCAAGACTAATACGTTTTAATTTGAATAGAAAAATATTTTTCGTTTATGCCTAAATGTGAATGAAATGTATCCCTTCTTCCCTACTCCCCGGTGTTGAACAGCATGTTTATAAATATTTTTCCCCCTGTTCCCTTTGGGATTTATGACTGTTCAAGCTAATGCTACAAAGTAAAATGTTTTTAATCCAAGGAATGCAAAAAACATAGTGTTTCATATTGAAAGCTCCCAACAGAATGTTGTTTGAATGTAACTGCCTTGTTGCTAATGGATTTGGAACAGTGAAAAATGACAACATGAGTGAACAAAAAATATTTCTGTGTATCAGTATGGAAAACCAAATGATTTTGAACAAATAATTGAAATGTGCATTCATTTAAAAATATTTTGGTATGCTTTGTAGAGTTGGAGTTGAATGTATATATAAAGAGTGTGTTGCTGTTACATGCCTAGCTTTATTTTTCATAAAAGCAAACATAAGCTATACTCCCCTAAGTCTCAAAATGCAGTAACTAGCAAAAATTTTGATGTTACTTGTTTGCATTTTTATCCATATTTTTCATCTTCATTCGCTTCTTGACATATTGGGTTTCTTTTTGCTTGGAGTAATATGTCCATTAACTGCTAACAGAGGTCACTGCCACGCATTCCTGGACCTCTCACACATTCGTTTAGGATGATGCTCGTAGAGCATGAATAGATTTGTGCATCTCTAGTAAAATGCTCATTATAGATTGGTGTTAACTACACCTCTCTGTTGTACAATCATGTGGTATACTCTTCTCAGATTAGATTAGAAGTAAAGCTATCGCCAGCTTTGGGATTGAACTGGAAGCGATTCTGGCCATTTTGCCTCCTGCTGCACTTCACAGCACCCACTGAAACTTGCAGCTATACCTAATTTTTTCCTCATTCTACTCAAATTCTGCCCTACCCCAGCTTGCTTAGTTGAGCGCAGAATGCAACCCAAAGCAGGATGACTGGCCTGGGCATTAAAATTGTTGTGTATACTTGGTGTAGGAACCTGTTGTTATTTTCTCATAGTGTTTCCTTCACATAAATTGTTAAAAGACAGACCAGTGTCCCCTTTCTAAGTTCTCTTGTTGACGGCACTGTAGGCAGTGTGGTGGCTTCACACTGCCAAGCTCTGCCACCTGTGGCTTTGTTTCTTAGCCAGAGTTCGTGACTGCAATCTGTTGTGTTTCAATTTGTGGCTCTAGAGCTCTATAACAAATCCTGCTTTTATGGAAAAAAAAGAAAAAAAAAAACTTTCAATTCTGTGTTAAAATGTATCACTTTGCTGTTTTCCCATTCCCCCATGTCAATTGAATATTGTGCTATCTGAGAGAGCTGGAACTGAGAGTGAGTTGGTAACACTGACCCTGCTGTTTGTCAGAAAGGTAGATGTAAAGGAAGTTGCTATAAAAACATTCCTTGCTTTGCAAATAACAGCTGAATAGGACTGTCTGTAATAGGTGTGTTTAGCAATAGAAAATAGCATTTCCAGAGTCTGACTCTGAATGTCCTAGGAAGCAGATGGGGTACCTGTGTTTGGTAGTGAAATACAACATGATAAATGGAAAATGTGAACAATGTACGTTTACAGATTATTTGTGCAATCACATTTTTCCTTACTAATACAGAAAGGGCAATCCTACAGCTGCTAGGGATGTTCTGTTACCAGAATAGCAATTGACCTCAAACTTGACCTCTGCCTCCTAATGTATGTAATTAAAAAAAAAAAAAAAAAAAAAAGCTTTTTCCAGAAAAGAGATAATTGCATAAAATTCTTTTTGTTCCATTCTGACTGATAAACATTGTTCAAACACTAATCACAACCCATCTCTGGTATCTTTATTGGTGAGCAGCATCTCAGCTGGACTCTTTCATTTTTAGTGGTAGTTATTTTGTCCTTTTGCTTTTAAGTTTACATGTTAAAAAAGACAACTTATTTTGGATCTGCAACTTGAAAATCACGTCTTTAATCATCAGAAACAATATCTTATGTCCATGATACACTTCTGTTTGCAAAGGAGGCCAGAATGCTTCCTGCACTTATAAATGTAGAAATTGCTTTGTTCCCTGTTGAAATACAAATGTCCTGGGGCATAGCATGGCAGTTTTTCATCAACCTATGGCAATGTTTTCAAGCCACTCAGGGCAGGAGGTAAAGAATAATACCATATCCTGGTGTGCAAAATAAATTATCAAAATTGGAATTCACTCTGACATAAACTTGGACGTAGTTATTCAGGCAAAAGATGTCATGGATTCTGGTTTAGTATCTTGCTGACAAAGACAATAGTACACATGATATTATTACACATGAAACCCTTCGTGTACTCCATCGGGCTTAGTATGATTGGTTTTGTGTTTTTTTCTTTTTTAGACTGAAGCTCTTTACCCCCAAGCTGTATTTTCTTTTTCTTAGGTGTGTGATCTTGTCACAAACTCTGGTCAAGCTTTCCATCTTCTACAGCGCAGCTATTACTTTTTTGCGAGTTCTTTCCCTTTACTATCAGTATTTCAGATATTTTTTCCTCTCAAATGCACTTATTCGTTTCTTGTCTAAATGGAGTATTGTTGATATAATTTGTTCATGTTTCTCTTAACTCTAAATGCATTTGTACTTTTACCTTCAATGATGATCAGCTTATCCTAACATCATAGCATTCCTTGCAAATGTCATAAATGTGTTTTCAGATGATAGACAGGTCAAGTACTTCAAGACTTATTGGTTCTACTTAATGGGTAAGATATGATGTAAAGCAATTAGAGATCTGTAGGGACAGGGTATCTGTGATAGGAAGGCTGGTATTGCTGAAGCTTGTTTGCAGTGTCCTTACCTCCCTTTTCTGCTTCCTATTCGGATAACGTTGCTGTTCATCATTTCACCTTGAAATTGTCTTTAAGGTTTGTTCCTCGTTTAAAAAAAAAAAAAAAAAAGGCAAGAAAAAGCAAGTACTGTTACATGCTTCCTTATGTCGATTTTACCGTTTCTGTTCAACCTAATCAGCCGTGGACAAGACAAGGTTCCTGACAAGCTGTTAAACACCATTGGCATTTGTGGCAGGAAGCATAACTAATGAACTAAGTTGGAGGTAGCTGAGCTGCACACTGTTAATTGATATTTCACTCCTGAGCTCTTTCTCATTCGCTGTGTGTGACAGAAGGTCAGAGCAGCCTTTCTCTCCCTTGTGCGTGAGGGCTCTTGGAGGACAAATTCTGCACGAATGCATGTGCAGAGTGGCTGGTAGTGACATGGCACATTGGGCTGTGGTCTGCGTGAGCTGCTTGTTCGTAGCTAACAGGGTAAGAGGGTCAATATGGCCCCGATCTGGAGTGAAAATCCAAAGCTATAGGTGTTCTCCCATCTCATTCTCTAGTCTAGGCAAAGCCTTTGAGTAGTGTCCAAGGCTGCTTGCAGCTGAGGGGGATGCTGCCTGCTTGGGCTGAATGCCTTTATCCACAAACACAGTTTTCAAATTTAAATGACACCTGGATATTGTTAGGAAAGCAGTCTTGTCATTTTATTAAAACACGTTGAAAGCTTCTCTTAAATTCAACATGCCTGGAATCTGGCTTTATCAAGGAAGGTAATATGGGTTTAATACTTCTAAATTTTGTCATTTGACAGTAACATTCCTGGTGGTAAATCAGTAAATGGTGTAGCTAGCTGAATGGTAAGAGAGGAATCAGGCCTCTAAGAAATCACATGATCTAAAACTGTGCTGGTTTTGACCTGCTCTTTTGGGGGGTTGTATGTATGGTGCTTCAGATAGATGGGGTTTCAGCTGTTTCCATAAATTGAAATCAAAAAATGATAGAAGAAAAAAAAAGTGGAATAAAACTGGAGATTGTTTTCCTGAAATCTGAGCTCTGAGGACATAAAATATGAGATTCTAAATAGTTGTGATTGTTAGCAACCCTTTGATGTCTAGATCTGTGTTTGTAATTTGCTAAACTTCAGTTTATTGTTTGTAGCCTCAATAAGAAAGACCCTGGAACTGTTCCCCTGCTAATTTGAGTACGTATTTTTAACCAAACAAAAGTAGGCCAACTTATTCTTCAAAGTTCGTCTTACCTTCTGGTTTCTGTGCACTTACACAGAACTTATTTCCTTAGGCCTGTGGCTTTTAGGCCTTAGTCATGGGAGCTCTGTCCCCAGTGAGGCTGGCTCTCACCGAGCAGGAGAGGAACAGGAGAGGCCGCTGGTTCAGCAAAACTCAAGGCGTTGACGAGGCAGGTACAAGGCAGGTACATCAGTCTGCCATCACTGTGGGGTCGGCATGCCAGTCATGCTTAGACTGCCGTGATCGTGTGCCCAGTAACTGTCAGCGATGCAACGAGAGGAATTTGGCAGGCTAATTATAAGTGTTTAGACAGTTTTCTTCCTTGAGTGAAGAAAAAAAACGTGCACTTTGCAAATTTATCTAAAGCTACCTGAAAGATGCATATCTTGTGTTGTAGGAACCTTTGCTATCAGTAAGGAAATGGTTTGTGAGTCCTGCAGGCAGGTTGGGCTGGTCAGATGTGCTCTGCTCCTGGGGACAGTAGGAGCAAATGGGATCTTGTGTTTAAGTTAACATTTAGTGCAGTTCTGTCACGTTCAGTATGCACATTTATCTAGTTGTAATTAAGCTTCTAGTGTATCCCAGTGCTGTATTTTAGAAGAAGCCAGCCTGCCACTTGCTCTCTGTAAGATGACACGCAGATTTCAACCTGAGGAACTGTTTCGTGTTTTGTTTTCCACTGACAGAGCAAACCTGGATCTGGAAGAGGCATTCGGGCTGTCTGCCTTCTCAGCGTGTGGTGAGACTCCTGGTTTGTGGAGTCAGGAGAACAAAGGAAAATGCTGTGAATCAAACCTTTTATCGTGGCAGCCCATCTGAATGTGATGAAGAATAGGGCTTAGGACCTTGGTCTTGGTTTTGTCACGGTGGTTTGGGGGTGTCCCAGGTGTCCCAGCGGGACAGCTGTGGTGTGCAAGGACAGGAGGCTGCGCCGTGGGCTTCAGCACCCTCACCACGATGGGTGAGTTGCCTGTGGGGAGGCCAGTGGAGATTTGGAGAGCCCTGAGAAATACCTTGCAGGGAGGGAGAATATAAACATTTTTACTGAGTTGCTCAATGCCAGCAATTAGACTAGTTAAAGCAGTAAACATCTGAATGAATTGTGGCTGCGAAACAGTTTGAACTAATCTGAGTCACACTACCCTGAGCACAAACACTTGGTTTCTTAAGGCGGTGGTAATTATAGTATACTTTTATTTATTTTTGAACAAAGTATAAATCGGTAAATCTAGAAGCTTTATTTAGAGGAACATAGTAGGGTTGTTATCTGCTTCATCGTTACTGCTGTCTCCTGCCCTCCCTCCCCTCTCGTCTGTACCTCCTGAGCAGCCTCTTTCAGGAGTCAGTCTTGCCCTTCAGCTTTGCCATGAATGGCAGAAATGTGGATTGCTATAAATCCATTTGTCTGCATTAATATTAATACGTGGATTATTTTCTCACTTTCCTGGAAAGGAGAAGCAGTCTTCTTTTCTTCATCTTTAGTGGTGGCACATTTCTGTGCAAGGCGATGATTTCTGTCAGTGGAAGCAGCAGTTTGTGATTAGTGCAGAATGCCTGGGAGGAGGCGGGCTGTGTCTTCTGGAAACACGCTGAGCCCTTTGTCCTGACTTTCTCCGTGCATCTCGTTGACTGTCAGAGAGCAAGGCTGGAATTATCTCTATTCATACGTACATAAAAGTGTATGTGAGGATGATCTTACTTTTATTGACACAAAATAAGAAATATGCCAGAGCGCAGGAGTCAGAGGATATAAAAATGCTTGAAGGAACATGTCCAAATTTCCTGTTCCTTAGTAGATTTATTTAAAGATGATCTGTTTCTACTGCAAGACAAAATATCCATTTTTTGGCTGCCCGTGTCTAGATGAAGATCTGTCAGAGCGGGTATAGTGGGGCAGCTAACAATGCAAAATGATTACGTACGTGGTGATTGGTAAAGGGAACAAAAGAAAGCCAGGAGGTCATCATTGGGGTGCAGACCAGCACAGCTTGATTTTATAAACGTGTTTTAGTTTTACTACCAGCACTAAAACTAAAAATGTACTCTCTGGTGGAAGCATACAATTTCAGGGATGAATGAAAGGCATAATTAGATCATTTAGTAAGTGATGAAGCTACTAGCTCTGCTGGTATTAATCATTACTTTGAGCAGAGATGGAATTGTCAGAACTTCTTAACAACAGGGGTGGGTTGAGATGCTTTGTTAAATTTATTTGGGATAATACTATTTGTGTCAGTATTTTAGTCCTATGCATAGCATGTTGCAATATTTTTATCTTGAGCTAACAGCTGTAGCATATTATTAAGATAGTTTAGATTTTGAATTGTTTTCTGTAAAAATGAAACTTCCAGAAATTCCTAAGTTGGTGTTTTGACCTTTCTGTGCTACAGAGGAACTCGAGGAAAAGCCCTTGAAATCACTGTAAGAGGAAGGATTAAGAACTGTTTAGTAATAGTATAATGTAACCTAGATCACCAGTGAGCATTCCTCATCTCACTCTCTAACAAAGGGTCAAAGTTGTGTAGAAATTTGCCTAGAGATAGTGTAAAGATTTACAATTAATGGGCTGTGTATTTTTGCTTTTTATCTTGAGTGGTCATTGAACAGAGATTTCATAATAGCACTTTCGTTTTCATTTTTATTATTTTGTATATATTTTAAAGTAATTGTGTAAGCACGTATTTCACTATAAAAAACCCACAGGTCTGACTGCAAAGACTTGCTCAAAAGTTTATTTGTATTTTTAAATAAATTACAAAAGTTCACAGAGCATGTGTAAATCAGGCACACTTATAAATAGGAGATAGGTAATGTGAATTTGCTTAGATGTTATACCAAACCACAGAATGAAGGAAAGAATCAGGGGATTTCAGCTGCTCAATCTGTCTTCTCACTAGTATAGGGTAGACTCATCTTGGGATTGTTAGCAACTTCTGTAGGCAAAATGTGTGTAATATGTTTGGGACTGAATTCCAGACTCTCTGAAGTGCATACTATACATGCTCGTTGCTGTTACCTGTTGGGGTTAATTGTTTTAAGAAATTGTATATTTTTTCATTCTTTCTGTGGTTTGGAGAATATGGTATTTATTCTGTCTCCCTGTTGGTTTATTATGGTGGTGACTATCCTTCAAACTGATCTGTTGTGTGAAATGGGTGCCTATGAAGCTCTCTGATGTTTTTTTTTAATTGTTGTTTTCAGGATCCAACAAACTTGGATAAATTCAATGTCTCTAACTTCTTTCATGTTAAGAACAACATAAAAATAATTGATCCAGGTAAGGATGAATTGAAGGTAGGCGAGAAAACACCAGCTCAAATATGCAAATTCTAAAGACTCCATTTTTATGGATGAGTATTCCTTGGAGGCTGATGGTAGCTTTGAAAGCTTCTTGGAAACATTTTCAAATTGTCCCTTTCACATCAAAAAGAGTTGATAAATTTTGAAACAAAGACATGATTCCTTGAGAAATCATTAACTGTCTCTGGGTTCTGCACAGACACAGGAAGTTTTCTATGTCCTTGAAGAGAAAGTAGATGAGAGAGAATTGAGACGAGGAGGAAAAATAATTTGCCAAAAAATCTAATAGCCTTGTACCAGAACCAAGACAAAGAAACCTACATCTTCTTGTAGGTTGTTCTCATCTGCTGTGTGCTAGGTGCTGTTTCATACATTTAACTGTATCAACAATGTGTTGTTCATCCTCCTGTCTGAATAACAATATGTCTTCCAAGTTAAAGATTGATATATATGTTTCTCAAATTATTTCAGTCAAAAATGTCTTTTCTGTTTTTCTTTGTGGATATCACAACTAAGGAATTTGCTTCACAATCGTTTTGTGATTCTTTGATAACTAAATGCTTAATGATATCTGCTAATGTTCTGTAGTCGAAGGGAAAAAATCTGTCCGATGTCCTTGGGGTTTCCTTTAGAACTGTTTCTAATGAGGTGTAATTGCTGATTCTAAGCATGGTGTGTTTTTCTGAGTCTTACTGTGCTCATCTCTTTAAAGCTACTAATTCTGCAAGCCAGCAACTGTATTAACCACTTATTTTTGGAGGGTAGTATCTCAGAGATGGAATATTTCGTTATCAGCAAATACTAGGCATGCCAAGACAGAGAACAAGTGAAACTTCTTTAAAAAATATAATTAATGAAATTCTACAGTCTACTCCACCAGCCTCCTCTCCCTGGTGTCTCATTAAAGGTCTGATTCTGGGATTTTTGCATCACAGACTTGGTCATTTAGTAAAGAGACAAAGGACAGAAATTTATATGGCACCCAACTATATCTTCTTTTCTTTGTTCTATAGAAATAATTTGGTTAGACTTGTATGAACTTGGATCAATTGCAGTGGTCTCAAATAAATTTTTGCAGTAATTGATTTGAAGTTGATTTTTCTTATATATCATCATACTGGCATTTATTGTGTCATATTTCAGGTTATCCTGTCTTTAGTGTTATGCATTGCTACTTGTTACTGTTTCTGCAGGAATAAACATAGTTATTAGGCTATTTAAAAAAAAAAAGTAAAAATAACTGGAAGATTTTTGTATGACAAGGTGTGTAGTAACAGGAATGAGAACAATATAGAATTTGTCTTTTATTTCTGAATGATTTTGTCTTATATAGATGAAGAAAAAGCAAAATTAGATCCATCTTACTATTTGAAAAATACAAATGCTGAGACACGAGAGACTTTATTGGAGCTCTATAAGGAGTTCAAAGGTGATGATATTCTAGCAGCTACTATGAAGGCTCCTGAAAAGAAGAAAGTGGATAAGCTGAATGCAGTAAGTTGACTTAACTTGCACTTTAGCACTGTTGAAGAAGTAATAAATGTTTTTTGGCTTGGATGCCATATCACAGTATAAACAGACACTTCTTATATTTCTGTTACCTGGAAGTTTTTCACAGATGAAGGTATAAAAATCATATTGGGATTCTTAGAAATATGTTATATGTCAATGAATTTCTCTTTGTTAAATCATTATAAATGAACCTAAATGTTTTAGAAATGGAGCACAAGAAGAAGGAGGAATCTTTCTGATGTGGTTATGATGTATGTGTTGGCAGAACCTTTTTTCCCAGGTTTCAGTCTCTTGCTCTGAATTTGTTTATCATTGCTTCCTGCAGTTATTGGCAGAGAGAACACACCTTAGGGGCAGTGCAACTGAATCATTTCTGGTGTGGGCAAACACATAAATCAACTACAGCTGCTTCACCTTTTTTTCCAATGTAGCGCAGGATTTTTAGTGAAATATTTTAAAGAATGTTCTTCCAGGTGCACGTTACTGTGTGTTCATGGCTGTCAAAAGGAGCATTCATCTGCATCTAGATTTCCTACATCAAAGGCTGTTTGAAATGAGCAAGACAGGGTATTTTTCTTTAATAATTCTGGGATGTATGTGTCTCCATGCTTTGATTATACTTACATGAAAATGAATAGTAATGCAGCATATGGCTTTTCATGAGGAGGCTTATTTGTAGTTTAGTTAGTGAACATATGTGACGTATGAGTAGGATCACGTTTGCCCCATTTTCAGGATGCATAGCATTATAGGAAAAGAAAATATTCCGGGAGAAAAAGAAAGAGATAAGAAGCAATAATGAACTCTACATGTGTTGGAGAGTCAGATTATTAGCTAATTGTGTGGATGGGTTAGCTATAAACTTGCACAGCATGCGGTGTAACCTGATGGACAGAGCATTGTCCCGTGACTTACACATACATTCTCTACCAGTCATTACCCCAGAGTCACTAAAAGTATCTCTGGGTTTATTAGGTCTTTCTAATTTACTATAAAATCCACGTGTAATGTTCACATTTTCTTTCTGTAGAAGAATCACAAAGTTCAAAATAGAGCCATAGGACAATGCCTCTGCATGCAGAAGGGCCTGTGTGTGGGAGGGGGTTGGTTTGTTTTCCTCTGCAGCGTCTCTGTGGTTCACTGGATTTTCCTTCCACTTACTCAGCAATGTTGGAGAATTTTACAGATGTCTTGCCAGCAGTACTGCTTTCATATCTCTACCTGTGGACGCACAAATAAATTCTAATAATAAAATCTTTGCATAATAATGTATTAAATCATTGTGGAAGCAATAAGCCCCTTCAGCTCAGTGCCTGGGCAGCCTTAACTAGAGTTTCATTGAGGAAATGTTATGGGTAACAGATGGAGAAATATCCCTACATTGGATATTTGTTTCTTCCTGTAAGAAGAAGAAAGAGCAGAAAGTCTGCCTTCAGAAGGATGAAATAAATTATATTTGTGTGTTTTCACTGCTTATATAGTATCTAGTGCCTATCTAGTTTCTTAAATAGATAAATTGTAATAGCTAATATCTTTTTCTCTTGCTTTTTCCTCTGCGAACAGGCTCACTATTCCACTGGAGCAGTAAGTGCTTCCTTCACCTCCACTGCAATGGTGCCTGAAACTACCCATGAAGCAGGTACCAGAATTGCCTATCTACAAGCTGTTAATTTACTTTCCAGTTTTAATGAGTGCTCCCAAGCACACATACATTTATGGGGACTGAAGGAATGCATTGATAATTGGCCAGTAACAATGCCTTGGAAATGTATTCCTTGAGCAGATATATCCATACTTTCACATAAGCTCATTCTGAAAATAATGAAGCAGTTTTGAATTAGCTTCATCTTCTGAATGGCAATTACTTATATTGGACTGAAAGTAATGAGGGGATGATGACCCCTATGACCAGGGACCACAAAATGGTGTATCCACTTACCTAAGTTAGCAGAGAAGTATAATCTCTCCTCAAATTTCATACAAAATCTTTACTACCTTTTTGATATAACCTGGTATTGGTTAGAATCATGGCAAATTTTGTGGTGATAGCTTTTGATTTCCTGCTTTTCAAAGTTATTTTCTACACAAAAATGCAGTTTAATAATAAGTTTTTATTTCATTTTCTAGCCTCAACATAAATCTGTAGAATGTATTCAGTTTGAACATTAATTAAACAGCTGAGCGGTCAGTATTCCCAGTTGAAGAAAGAAATCTGTCTTTTGGCACTAAAATGCAAAAGTGTGTCACACACTTTGGCAAAGATTGAACATGTTTGCCAAAACTGCATGTCTACCAGGTTCAATTCCTTAACTTGTTGAATTGCAATGATTTGCAGGTGAATCTTTGGGTGTTGAAAGTATTTGACTTACTGGACATTTTGACACAATGGAAGTAGAAACATTCTAGATTGATCCTTTGGCTTGACTTTCCAGTAAAGTTTCCAGTAATTTAGCTTTATTTGTTTTCAGATCTGGGTAGGTTCTCATATGTCAGCAATTTGTGGTTGACTGATGACTACCTGCTTGGCTTCCAAGTTTGACAAGAACCAGTTTGGTTTCAAAGTAATGTCCATGATTGGTAGACATTACTTGAAAATTATAGTATGTGATATTGAATGTTTTTTGTGACTTAAAAATACAGATGATATTGTTGGCTCTCGAGGAGCTGGTGGCTTTCTGTAATGGAAAGTGTTTCTCACAGAGATTAATGTGAGATTATCGTAAATAAATTGTCGAGTGCAATCCCCAAAGACCCAGTATCCCAGAGGAAAAAGGTCAGACAGTAGAATTTAGTAATTTTTTTGCTGATCAGTGAATAAACTTCCAGAATTAATTATTGCCTTTTTTGCATTGTTACAGCTGCTATTGATGAAGATGTTGTAAGATACAAATATGTGAAGAAGAAGGGCTATGTACGACTCCACACTAATAAAGGAGACTTAAACTTGGAGCTACACTGTGACATGGTACTGTATGCCCCATAGGCTAAATCTTCTAATGTACATGTACATCTAGATGTAGAGAGATGTCAGAGCTAGCAATGGAAATGTCTAGGGATAGGAGCAGTGCGTAGTTTTAACAGATACAGGTAAGTAATTAACTCACAGTGATTTTGGTGTGTTTGGAGTTTCATCTTTCAAGCAAAATACTCTAGGAGATTCAAGAGAACCAGGGAATTGTTGCAAGAGTAGATGTACTTCCCTTGCTGCTGTTTACTTAGAAGAGATGGCATGAAATGAACAGAGGTTACCTCTTGAGGGGTAGATGTGAAGAGTTTTAAAATTATCTCCTGCAAGTTCATGGGTAAAAAATGGTTGAACAAATTTTGCATCATTTGAGGGTGTGGAAGGGGATCACTTTTAAATAAAGCAGGGATTTTTGGATGCTTCCCTTTCAGTTTTTGAGTGGAAGTTCTCTTTAAGAACAAAAGAGACTCAAGACCAGCATTGTGGTCTTATCTCTTTTGCTGGTACCTTACCTATACCCTTGTGCAAACAACCTAGCTTCAATAATTTTAGCTTTTTTATTTCTTGATTTTAGCAACTGTCAAGTACAATTTTAAGTACCCCACTTTGCCAGTCCCGCTCTTTCTCTCAACAAGCTCATAAGAGTGAAATGGCAAAATCTGTTTAGAATTTGTACATCAAATTGTGGAAGTCAAATTATGTAGATCTCTTTCATAGAACTGTTCCATTCTGCTTCATCAATACCTACTCAAACACGTGAATTCTGTGTAATGTCTGTGTTGCATCCATGTTCAGTAGGTGTCTGGACTGGGCTATCTATTGTAATGTGTATACATACATGTATAATTTTATATATTATACTACTGCATGCATAAGCATGCTCATGAGTAGTCCCATACGTTTTAGTGGAGCAATTTACAACATATCATGGTACCTGTTGAGAGCTTCAAAAGATCAAGATTATAGGGACTCAAACAGTAACTGGATAAGGAAGGCAAAGAGGAAAAAAAGAAGGAAGAGTACGGAGAAGGAAGAATAATCCAAGGTTATACAGCAGGTTACTGGCAGAAACAGGAAAAGAACCTTGGTGAAACTGAGAGCAATCAATTAGAATACTCCTGGTTAAGATCACCAGAAATGTTAGATTTGTTTTTAAATCCTGGACCTTAGAGAACAAACTTAAACAAAAACCATGCAGTATGTTTTTATCTCCTGCTGTCTCAGTATTTAAGGTTCAAGTTTTCAAATGTCTTTCCTTTGCCTTTAAGAGGTAGAGATTCATTTAAAAAACAGTGTACTAGAGTTTCCTTATAGTCAATACAGTTTGATTCTTCAAGAAATCTGTGGCTCTTACAATACTGAACATGGTAAGACTCATGCTAGACAGACAGGTTGTGGCAACACTGATGTCTCAGACACTGCTTGCTGGTGTTTTTGGTTATTTCTTTGTACAGACACATCTATAAAAGGAAAATGTTTTTAATGCAAAAATCCCAAACCTTCAATTGCTTACTGAGATTTTTAGCTTGAGAAATTATAGGTCTGAATGTAGGTGTTTTGGGTTTTAAATGGTGGATCTTCTTGTCATGGACCTCACAGAACTAAAGACAGTGATGCTGGCTGGGAGCTGGGGTGCTTAGTGTGGAATCAAGAGATGCACTGGGAGAATGCATCCTTTTTGCCTAACCATGTATGCAGCTGTGGGTAAGGAAAATGAGCAACCAGGACAGTCCTGCCAGCTTTCCTTTCTCTTCCTTTCTCCCTAAAAGCAAGGAGCAAGGTACATGTAAACAACTAAAGCTGATCTGTGCAAACAATATGAGAATTTCCACAAAAACATATCATGCTAGTAATTCTGTAGACCTCTGTCATCCATACAGGTGTTTTCCATGCTCCTAAATAGTAACACTATGTAATAAGGCAAAAAGCAGAGGATGTTAATACAGCAATATTTGGGGGAAGTAGCAGAATGAGCAGATTGCATTGACTCATTTGTTGTGCCATATGTTCTGAAACTGGCTCCTGGCTAGTGCAGGCTGGCTGCAGCTATTCTTATCAGCGTGGTTTCTTTGGTCACACGTGTGACCAGTATCCCTCAGTCCTGAGGACCCAGGCTCAAATGCCCATTAAAAGCTTCTTGTATGATATCCGTTGTGTTTTCTTTTTTTTTTTTTCCAGCTAAATCCCTATTCATTTCCCTTTCACACAGTGCTTCCTCATGTACATATTGGAAGTGTGCAGTATTTTGCACTACCAAACCTGCTTGAACATTGGTCTCTAGCCATCTGTTTCTTTCATTTCTTTGTGTTGATTAAATCTGTGTGAATTAAGCAGACCTTTGGCTTAACTGAGGAAGAAGATATATATTTAGAATAGGTAGGAAAAACTTGCTGCTTTAAGGAGCTTTTCACAACATCCACTTTAGGTCATCATCTGAGGTCTATTAAATCAGTTCTTCCTGGAGATGTTTCCTTTACTATATAAGGAGCTTGTGCTTCTAATTTTGTTTTTCCTGAATCACACTGAGGTTAGGCATGTAAGCTAGCACAGTGCAGAATAGAGCAAACATCTTGCAAATGCATAATACATAAATAAGTTGCACACATATATATGGATCAGTTACAGCATAACTATTGTGATGGCAAGGACAGACACAGAAAATAGGGAAATCCCAAAATCAAGGCCTTCAAATACTCAGTTCACTCTGCTTGTGAATATGCACTGCAATAGTATTAATTATTTCATCATGTGATGTTTCTTTTTAATCTGCTCTCCTGCCTGATTCAGTGCACAAGCTGAACCAGTTCTGGGAAGAATTTGGAATTCTGTAGGGGAAAGAAATCATATGCAGGATTTCAATTTTCTGCAGAAGTGTAGAGTCTTGGTAAGGCACTGTCTGACCAAGTAGCTAAGCCCCTTGAATGCAGTCTGAGGGAGCTGGACTGTATCATAATGCCTGCCCAAATTAATGTTGCATGGGCTTTTTGGTGCATGACTTTTCAGCCTTTGCAATCTTTCAGTGTAGTTGGTATGGGTAGGACCTCAGCTTTTCCAAAGGGAAAGGAGTGAGGAACAGATTTCAGCCTAAGGCACTGTACTGATACCCTCTCAGACCATCAGCAGGTTTGGGGCCAGTGGATTTAACATGAGAATCTGTGCTACAAGGGGGAATGAGAGAGTTGATAGCAGCATTAGGCTGTCTTTACTGTTTGAAATCAGCCAAAATGTGTATGGTTTGGGGAATTCATGTATCTACTCTCACTCTCTCAATCAATGCAAGTGCAGGAGCAAGTGTATGATTTATGAGCTATGTTATAGTGGTGCTTAGCTTCTTTTTTTTCATTTTTTTTCTTTTTTTTTTTTTTTTTGTTAAAAAACAACAACTGAGCACTCTCAGACTGGTTGTTGCCTCGACCTAACCACAGGTTCCTTTTTGTAATTGCTGAATGACATCCTGTGCCCAGGTTATTATGGAAGCCATCCTAGCAGTGGTTTTCATTGCAGAGTTCTGCAAATACATGATTGTGAAATGCTTTAGGAAGGTTGATTCTGAAGTTGCTATATAAATATGATAAATGAATACCTTTGTCCAGAGGTAGGACATACAACATTCAAATTACATTTTAAAATAGTCTTATGGGCAAGATTTAAATAGACATTTCTGAGGTGAAGTTTGCTGAAATAGAGAACAACAAGTGTCATACTTGCTGTCATAGAGTGATGTCTACTTTGGAGTCTTCAGTTGTATTTTCATGGCTATGGGGTGTCTATTTAAATAAAATATTCTTGCAGTTCTCCTCAGAGTGGTCTGCACTGCTGCTGAAGTCTGCCCAGTATCGTTTTTGTCTTTAGTACACCGCCCCTTGGATTCCTGCTCTCTGTCCCCAGTTCTTCTGTTCTGAGTTCTCTTTGGAGCAGAAGCAGTTTTCCCTGTTTTTGTGAGTGACGTGGCAGTACGAATTGTCTGGAGTTTGGTTTATATGTACATGTGGACACCTTTGTTTAAAAATAAATGGAGGGGTCTTCGTACACTAGTACTTTAAGGTACCAATCAGTAAGATTGATAGTGATGAGATTCTTCCTAGTACCAAAAGTCTAATCAAGAAAAGTTTAGTATTGATCCAGGGTGGGAAATCAGTGCTGCAGTGTGATTGAAGTCATCAGTTAGCTTGTGACAGGATACAGAAAAAGAGCACGAGATAGGACTGGAATCCAGGTATTTTCTGTGTTTGAAATCACTTGTTCAGAGCACTGGAAAACTTCAGTTAGGTTCCAAAAAGATGATGTGTGGTGTAAGTCACTGACCTGAGAAAAAGGCAATAGAGACTTTGGAAGATAAGCTGTTTTTTTTTGGTTTTCTTTTTTTTTTTTTTTTCCTATCTGTTTGAGTTTTTGCCTCAAATGAGCAAAGGTACACTACTGCTCTCTCTTCTCTTTGCACCACAGTGGTGTGTGTGTTGCTCTTTATGACCATTTGTTTTTCTCCCAGTTGTCTTGTTCAGATACAGTATGTTCCCCCTGATGGGGACGTAATCAGATGGCCATTTGTTAGGACGTTTTCCAGGAAGCTTGAGTTCAGCTGGGCATAACCAACATTTGTTGTATATACTAATTGGAAACAAATTTACAAAATTCTACTTGCCAGAAGTAGTTATGACTAATACAGAAGATTTAACACATCCAACGTGCTTTTCTTTCAGCTCTTGTCTTATACACAGCCAGACAAATAAGTGATGAAGAAATAGTTGATGAAAGGCAATGAATGTGGCTGGATTTATTGTATTTTATTTATGGTGATTTTTCTAATCTCAAGTTCTTTTAGCTGCTTTAATTGGGATGCTTCTGGGAACAGCCATCTACATCATCTGTGTTGTATTCTGCTCTATTAGTGACTATATTGATGAAGTTGTAGATGGTGAAGCAACCTCCTAAGCCAGGGTGGAAGCTTTATCCTGCAGAAAAACTCAAACTGACATGGAAGTGGAAGTAGAAAAGCAGTG